TCATCAAAAAAATAATAAAAAATGCCACATAAGCGAGTTAACGATCGAAATTAACAGAAGGACTAACGGAGTGCATTTCTTAGAGTTGAGGGATCAAAAAAGTGCAAAAAATTGTTGAGGGATAAAAAATGTGCAACTCACTAAAGTTGAGGGACCAAATTTAGCATTTAACCTTTAACATAACTCTTTATTAATTGTTTCTTGAAAATTTGATAAAAGCCCATTTCCTATGTCTTCGAATCTTCTTTCGTGTGAATATCAAATATTTTGTTCTCATATAAAATTATTAAGTAAGTTACTAATAATTATAAATCATATTATATTTTTTAAATTTTAATTAATAATTATTAAAATTGACCATATGTCAGTTAGAGTACTTTTAAAAAATATATAATCAAATATCAAAGTAACTTTCAATTATAGTTACAATTTAAACATCAAAAAGAAAAATTATAGTTACAGTTTAATATAATCTAACATAATTACAATTATAACCACAATATTTTACGACAATTCCAAGTACATCCTATCTAAGTAACAATGATTTTAACTCCAAGTATCTTCAAAACTAACTAATCTTACATTTCTCTAGGTCTACCTATGCATCAAAATATCTTTTTCTTTTTTTTTTTGTTGTTTGATGGGAAAAACAGTGCACATATTTTATTAATAAATAGGAAACGGGGAATACATAATTAGATACTGGCCTTATCCCCCATTACATATTGCACTATAGCTTCTAATATATCTCCAACCCAATGTTCACCAGCTTCTGCATGCAACGCCTTTTTTGCCAACTCATGATCTTTTCAACAGAGAGATCTCGAGCCCATTGTAGTGCTTTACGTAGAGTACACGCCTTGGTTACTTCAATGGCTATTGCCCTTTGCCCCTTACATGCCATTGCTGCCACCACATCACCTACAGGATCATGTGTCACTACCCCTATACCAAAGCTTTGTCGTTGTGCTAAGATGGCTGCATCTGTATAAATCTTCACATGGCCTACATCTGGGGGTCACCATCCAAGCCATTGGGTAGGTCCCTCTTGCCTACCTTGAGAAGCCATTGCTTGTTTGCACTTATTTAAGAAGCCCAAACCTTGTTCTATGATAAACTATGGGTTTGTGTGCTTACCATGCCATATTGCCTCATTTCTACATCCCTAAATCTTCCAGCACGGTACACAAAGAAGTTCGAGTTGCTCCCTCTCCAGAACGGAGATCATGTTATCAAGGAAACTTGCAAAACCATCAACATGAAGCTCTGACACTCGGAGACTAAGTGGGCAGCCTAACCAAATTACTCTCGTAGTTGGACAGTACACAAAACAATGTAATATAGACTCAAGTTCCAAGCTACGCATAGGGCATAGTAAATCTATCATAATCTATTGCCGAAAGAAGTTATCCCTAGTGGGAGGCACACCCATATAAGCCTACCATACAACATGGTCCACCTTTTCAGGGACATCAACATTCCATAAGCGCCCTTGTCTAACATTACTTGAAGACCTAGAAGCATTAGCATGACTACTCCCCATCTCTAAGGCATGGTAATACCCAGTTCGAACTGAGAAGATGCCATTCCTTGTCAAGTTCCAAGCCTATCCATCCTCTTGTCTCATCCAACTAAGAGGTATAGACAAAATCAGATAGGCTTCATAAGGATTAAAGGTTGTAAAACTAGATCCTGCTTCCATGTATGAGAGTCTTCATCTATAAGATATGCAACATAATGGAGAGTACAAGCACTAGGTCAAGAAGATTGAACATAAAATTGTGTGTTCCTAAGAAGCCATGGATCTCCCCATACTTCAGTTGTTTGGCCATCCCCAATTAATTTCTTGCAACCTTGCTTTAAGAGTGAGATAGAGCGCCAGATACTTCGCCAAGTCACGCTAGAGGCTGGTTTTAGCTCAGCGTGAAAAAGATTCGAATAGGAAAAGTACTTTGCTTTCAATAGATGTGCAACCAAAGACTACGGATTCACTAGTAATCTCCAGCTTTGTTGGCCAAGTATCTCAAGATTAAATTCATGAAGGGAGTGGAAGCCTAGCCCACCTACCCTTTGTGAAACTACAAGCTTCTTCAGCTCCAATCAATGGATTCGATGCTCATCTTCTCCCCACCCCACCAATATCGGTTCATAATCCTTTCTAGATCTATACATAGATTTTGAAGGAGTAGAAATAGAATCATGACATACATTGGAAGAGGTTGTAGTATAGATTTGATTAACACTTCCCTCCCTGCTCTAGAAAGGGGTTGTTTTCTCCATTCACCAATTTTTTTCCAAAATTTACCCTTTAAACTTAAGAAGATTGCAGTTCTACCTCTGCCGACAAGAACAAGAAGACCAAGGTATCATTCTAGGTGATTGCCCGTATTCATACAAAGAATTTGGGTAAGGGTGTCCCGGGTTCTTTATGGCACATTGTTGCTAAAAATCACTGAGGATTTATGCACATTAATCATTTGACCAGAGGCAGCTTCATAGTGTTGAAGAATTGTCATCAGACGCCTAGATTCAACTTCAGTTGCTCGAAGGAAAAGGAAACTATCGTCAGCAAAGAAAAGGTGGGGCATTGTAGGAGCTTGTCTACATATTTTGATGCCATGCAACAACTTTCTTTCCTTTGCATCCCTAATCATCATCGTAAGCCCCTCTACACACAAAATAAATAAATAAGGAGACAAGGGATCCCTTTGCCTCAAACCTCGAGTTGGGGTAACCATTCTGACATCCATACCATTGAGCATAATATTATATTTAATTGAAGAGACACAAGTCATGATCAAAGAGACCCATCGATTTGCAAATCTTAAAGCTCTCATAACAACTTCTAGGTACAATCATTCAACTTTATCAAAGGCTTTGCTCATGTCTAGCTTTATTGCTTGCCAACCCTTTTTCCTTCTTTTCCTAGCACACATGAAGTGGAGAACTTCATAAGCAATCAAAAAGTTGTTATTAATGAGTCTATTTGGCAAGAAAGCACTCTATTCTCGGAGATGACTTCCGGTAGCACTTGCTTAAACTTATTCGCCAACACCTTCGTAAGAACTCTATAGTGTTGTACCTATGATTTTAATGATTACAAAACACATTTGAGTGACTAATTGGTTTATTTAAGTGTGTAGTTAAGTTGCTAAAAGATTGAAAGTAAACTTGGATTGCACTAAAAATAGACCAAAAGGATTCAAAATGTGCAGAGAGCCAGCTCTTAAAAGTTGCAGCCGACTCTGGTGAAATGGAAGTACAAAGAGCTGGCTCTACGGGCAAAAATTTGAAGATCGTTATTTGGCACGTGTAGAGAAAATACGCAAAGTCGGCTCTAGCTTTGTAGCCGGCTGTGAGGGTGCATTTAATGCACAACAGTCGACTCTTTTGAAGAGTATTTAATATATTTAAAGTCGGAGTTCCAAAGCCGGCTCAAAGTTTTGCAGTCGGCTCTCGAGAAAAACAGAATGTGCAGGAAACCCACAAAGCCGACTGTACAGAGTCGGCTCTAGGAAGTTAAGTCGGCTCTCCTAACAATTTTGCAACTCGAGCTTTGCGTCCTACAGAGCATTTAATGACCCCCAACGGCTAGAAACAGCTATTTTCGAGCAAGGAGCTATAAATATGGTTGGTAACAGATCTGAAGAGGGTTGGAGAACATTATATTGAATATCTTTACCTACCAACTTGTGCTTTAACTAGAGATTTTGATCTTTAAGAGATCTTGGTTTGTAATCCTCTTCTTGTGCTATTAGAAAGTGATCTTGGGGGTGTGTTGATTCCTTCAAGAGTGATCTGTAGAGAGGATCTTTGGGGTTTAAGTGTAAAGGGGTGAGATTTGAGAGAAACCCTTCTTCTTGTAAAGGATTGAGTGGCTCCTTTAAGCCACCATTGTTTTTGTTAGTGGAGAGTGTGGAGGAAATCCTTGGTTAGTGAAGCCAAGGTAGAGGACTAGGCTCCAAGTGGTTGGACCGAACCTCTATAAAATCATTGTGTAAGCTTTTCTTCTCAACTCTCTCTTTAATTTTTGTTTGGTGGTTGCAAAGAGGTGAAAATTCTCTAACTCCAATTCATCCCCCCTCTTGGAGTGCATTGAGTCAACAATTGGTATCAGAGCAAGGGCTCCAATTTAAAGGTTTAACCACCTAGGAGTTGATCGGGGATGGCTCAATTTCAGTGTTCTCAACCACTTGAAGGTTCATCTACGACTAAGCCTCCTTTCTTTGATGGTACTAATTATAATTATTGGAAGAATGGGATGAAGGTCTTCATGCTTGCAAATGTGCCCAAGGCATGGATTGTGACTATGAAAGGTCCATATGTGCCTATGAAAGTAGTTGGGAAAAGTGAGGTGCCAAAGGAAGAAGTTGAATGCAATGATGAAAACTTGGTGAAGATCATGATCAACAACAAAGCAATCAATATGCTTCAATGTGCTCTCAATCCAACGAAATTCCATAGAGTATCCGGATGTGATACGGCCAAGGAGATGTGGGACATGTTGGAGGTAAACATGAAGGAACAAGCCAAGTGAAGGAGTCAAAAATTAATAGACTCATTTACATGTATGAGCTTTTCAAGATGAAACCAGAGGAGAGCATTCAAGATATGTATACAAGATTGAATGATATAGTCACCAATCTCAAGGCTCTTGGTAAAGTCTATCTTTCTTAAGAAGTAGTGAGGAAGGTTCTTAGAAGCTTGCCCAAGAATTGGGAAGCCAAGAAGACCGCAATTGAAGAGTCTAAGGATCTCAACACCCTCAAGCTTGAGGATCTCATTGGAAAATTGATGACATATGAGATAGAAATTCAAGTTGATGGTGGAGTTGAAGCAGTTAAGAAGAAGAAGAAGAATGTTGCTTTCAAGGCTAGCAACCAAAAGGAAGAGAGTGAAGATGATGCTAGTAATGATGAGTCTAGCAATGAGGAGGACATCACCAAATTGATTTCAAAGGAAGTGAAGAGATTCATGAAGAAGAACATCAAGAGCAAGCTTGCAAAAAGAGATGAAGGGGAATCTACCAAAAGGAGTGTGAAATGCTATGAGTGCAACAAGATGGGGCACTATAGAAATGAATGTCCCAAATTGAAGAAGGGTGAAAGGAAAAACAA